TCTTCTCTTCTCTTCTCTTCTCTCTTCTCTCTTCTCTCTTCTCTCTTCTCTCTTCTCTCTTCTCTCTTCTCTCTTCTCTCTTCTCTCTTCTCTCCTCTCCTCTCCTCTCCTCTTCTCTTTTGTTTGTTTTCTTTTCTTGTAGGAAGAGACTCCAAGCCTTCCTATTTCTCACCCTGTGGTCAAACTGCCCCCTCATCAGTATCTTCCCAGAGCTTTTCCCACCGGATTCATCAAGCCTAGGTCTTCTTGCTTGGCAGCTTTGTCTTACAGAGAGCTGTGGTGCACAGCGGGGCCCCCAGCATGGCATAAAACTCCATAGACGCAGTCTGTAGATGTAGTCTTTTGCATTAATACCATCTGCAGAGGGATGGAATAAATAAGTGTGGGTGGAAAGCAGACAAGGAAAATTAGAATTGTAAAATGATACTTTTAAGAAAAACTGCAGCTTCAGGACACACAAGTTACTCAAGCCCTTTCTCCTTCTGAGAAACTCACTCACAAAAAGTTCCTAAGGGCGTTAGAGATACAATAAACCTGTAAATAGTGAATCGTGCTTCATGGCACAGAGCTCATCCCCAAAGAAGCAGCAGTGGTCCTGGGCAGCAGAGCTCATCCTCAGACACTTTGCAGCCAGATGGCAACTGACAGACAGCAAGAGCCCCTCCTAGACCACCCAGTGTGAAGACCCACAAGCCCCATAAATATACCCAGCTCCCGATCAGAAAGTGTCTCTCTCTCTCTGGCCTGCTCTCTATTTTTTTGAGGGCCCTTTATGCATCTTATCGAGCTGTCCTGAAAATTGTTTTTCTGAGATGGGATCAGCAAACCTGCAACTTAATTCTAAGTGTGGGGTGGGTCTAGGAACCTCCTGGGACCCTGTCCAGTGACAAACCCAGTGAGACACACTGTCCTGTATTCATTGGAAAGGTGTCATAACTGAGGCTCAGAGAAGGCAGTGCACTTGCTCAGGCAAACACGGGGGCAGAAGGAGACCTGACCCAGGTTCTTGTCTCCACACTTCCTAGCCAGATCTAGAGCTGGCGGGCCGAGGCAAGAACCAGGGACTGCAGTGCCAGGTAGGTAGGAAAGGCGAGCTCAGGTCATGCTGTGGGCCTATGAAGAGGTGACCTACAGTTCCAGGTGTGTGTTCTAACCTAGGAATTTATGATCCTTGGTGCTGCTTAGTATAGACCCACCTACAACATATGGAAGTGTCCAAATCTGTAAAGAAACACAGGTATACATCGAGAAACACATACAACCCGTGTGTAACCAAAATGTACTTCTAAACATTTGAAGTGAGGAAATGTAGGGATTTAGGGGGGGTATTTGGGATTGAACCCAGGGCCTTTGCACTGAACTACATTTCTGGCCCATCATCATCATTATTATTATTACTATTGTTTTGTTTTGTTTTGATTTTTGAGACAGGGTCTTGCTACGAAGTCCAAGCTGGCCTCAAACTTACTATGTAGCCCAGGCTGGCCTAGAACTTGCAGTGATCCTCCTACCTCAGGCTTGTGAGTGAGTGTTGGGATTAAAGGCATGCACCACCATACCCAGCTCAAATGTAAGGATTTAAAAGGTGACAAAAGGGGCTGGGGATTTAGCTCAGCGGCAAAAGCGCCGTCTGGCAAGCGCAAGGTCGTGAGTTCGGTTCCCGGTACCAGAGAAAAACCAAAAAAATAAAAAAATAAAAGGTGACAAAAGTCTGTTTGTTTGATAAGGAGCTGAACTAACAGATACACAATGCATGCTGTAATCAGGGGGATTTGCACAGATAGCGATAGCAGCGTCACCAGGCCAGGCCCACTGTTTACCAACCTCTGAAACTATGAGATTTGCAAAAGAGAAAGAGTCTACTGACAAGG